AAACTTTGGGTCGCTCGTGGGAAACCCCCCTGACCTTTACTTTTACCACTAAACCCCAATAACTTTTCCCACGAAACCACCTGAACTTTACTTTTACCACTAAACCCCCATAATTTTTCCCACGAAACACCCTGAGCTTTACTTTTACCACTAAACCTCAATAACTTTTCCCTTCCCACGAAGCCCCCTGAACTTTATTTTTCTCACTAAAACCCTCTACTTCCCCTAAACACCCTTAGCTTTTATGAAATCCCCAACTTTCTTTTTCCTTGCACGGGTCACAGTTGGAGCTCCTGATCATTATCTTTTTTCCTCTTTCGAATCTCATGTATTCTCTACTGAATATTGTTTTTTCAACTGAATCTTGCTTCTAATATTAGGAAATTATGAAATTTCAGGTTAATTTGTCAAGATGTTCCTCATCCAAACCCATTCGATTGAAGAAACATTTTGTGATTCAAGAGCCGTTACACAAATCTCTATAACTGCAACTAACCACAGAGACGAACATTATGGCTGGTGGTGTTAAAGTTGGGGGTTTCATGGTAGAAGTTAGGGGGAAAGTAGGAAAAACAAAGTTTAAGGAGGGTGTCATGGGAAACGGCCCAAAGTTTTGGGACGTTTCGTGAAATATACCCTATCATTAACCAACTAGCTTCCAACCTGCAAGAGAATGGATGGTTATTGTTGTTAGCTCAACATTTTAGCAGTCATATTGTTCTCATACCAATATCAACTAAAAGCATTCTTGTATATCATTAAAGCAGACTCCAAAAATATGTTGGTTAAGTACTTAGCATATGTAAGAATGAAGCACTAACAAACATAGAGAAACATAGAAGTAAAGTTATACTTCAGTATAAGCTCAATCCCTTATGCCTACCAGTGTAAAAGTTAGGCAGTAAAAATGAAATAAATTTTCTTTACACTCAATTCAGACAACAAGAAACTAAAACCACATGCATGGAATTTAATTGAAATATCTTTAAGCTTTATGTTGAACATAAGAGTCAGGAACTGTATAAAGTAACCATGAAATATTAATAAGAATAATTGAAAACAATGCGCTTGTAGAAAAGAAAATTTCAGGTTAGAGTTTTAAGAAAGACCACTTACTAATCATTGGTGGCTTTAATTCTCCACCAGCTGCATATTTTCCCATGACCCCACTGCACCTGATATCACGTACAATTCAATGAACATGTGTAAGTATGTTATCCCCAAAACATACATTATCCATTGAAATGCACTGCCGATTACTAATTACAACTGCTAGTTTGACTAGGGCAATACATACATGAGATGATTCAGATCAAGTATGATCACCAAAGAAAACATCCCTAAAGTATCGAGGAAACCCTAAGTTCATCATTTTTCTTAGATACTACGTGAAACTATTTCTCCTTGCCTATGATAAGAAATGATTGCTTTCTACAAGTACAATGACTGGTGGCTGGAATGATTGCTTCCACGAAACATTAGGAGTTGATTGGTGTTGAGTTATTTAGATAGTAATTAGTCAATATTGTAAGGACTTATCTGTAAGAGTGCACTTCTATAAAAAGGGTACCTCTCTATGAGAGTAAGTAACCCTAATTTTCCCAAAACTTTCTACATGGAATCAGAGCCATGTGGCGGCTCTGAGCTGTGCGTGTAAATGCCCCTCCTCCTCTTCAAATCTGCATCAGAAACACCAAGAGCCCTAGATCGGGCTGATTCTTCTCAGATTTCTCGACTCCTTCGAGATCTTTGAGTTCGTCTTCGGCTGGATCTGAGTTTCTCCTCTCAGTTCCTCTTCTCCTCTCAGTTAGCAGATCTGAGTTCCTTTTTCCGCTGCCCTCGAGCCCTCGAGATTCGAGATCTCCGACTCCAGTTTTGGGTGGTCGCCTCCTGCCAGATTTCTCCCACAGCCAAAGGGGCAAGCTCAGGCTGGCGGTAGAGGTGGAGAACGTGGTGGAAGAGGCGGTGGTCGTGGCGGCGGTCGCGGTGGAGGATTCCGTGGAAGAGGATCTCCGAGAGGTGGTCGTGGTGGTGTTTTTTTAGAGGCCGAGGAAGTTTTTTAGTGCACCCCGATTTTTAGTGCACCCCCTTTTTTTCTTTTTTAATCCTCCAAGTGATGTTATCTAGGCAAAACGGTGTTGTTTGTTCTCTGGAGCCAGTTTAAGCGATTTTGTTATATATATATAAAAAAAAAAGGAAGAAGAAAAAAATTTTCTTGGATGAGATCTTTAACCTTCGGGTTCATAAACATCTCTTGGATGAGATCTTTAACCTTCGGGTTTATAAACATTAACCTTCGGGTTCTTGAAAGCTAACCTTCGGGTTCTTGAAAACTGACCTTCGGGTTCTAACCCCTAACCTTCGGGTTCCTAAAACTGTCCTTGAGCTTGTTCAAGGAGTTGTAGAGTGAGATCTGAGAATCTAGGGTTTGGATCGAGGTCAGTTGCGGTGTTTTTTGAAGAGAAGGGGGGATCAACTGTGAAGATGGGGACAACTGTGACTAGTCAGGAATTGAAGGAGATCCTGGAGGGGGTGGCCAGGGTATTTCAAACCAAACTAGAAGAAAATTCTAGTAGGTCGGTTGTGATCGCATCGGAGTCGACGCATGTAATGGAGAGGGTAAAGTTGTTGCCGAATGACATTAAGCTTGAGGGGACAAGAAACTATCTGAGTTGGTCTCGTAGGGCATTACTAAACCTTCGAATCAAAGGACTTGAAAAGTATGTGAATGGGGAATGCACTGAGCCGGAAAATAAGGCGAGTGCTGAGTGAAACACATGGAGTAATACTAATTCTCTGGTGGTTTCCTGGTTGTTAACTTCTGTGTCTCCAACAATAGCTGGGATGGTGGAGTCTATCTTAAGTGCAACTGATGTCTGGAAGACATTGGAGGGGATGTACTCTGGAGCTGGGAGTGTGATGATGATGATGGAAGTGGAGGAGAAGATTGATGCTTCCACACAAGGGGCGAAGACAGTCCACCAGTATGCAGCAGAGCTACGTCACTTATGGGCGGATTTAGATCACTATGATCCATTGTCACTACAAAACCCAGCAGATGTTCTTTTGGGGAGGCAGTATCTTGAGCGCAGGCGTGTGGCTCGTTTTCTTAAGGGTCTGAATCCAAAGTTTGAGGGAAGGAGGGCAGCAATGTGTCATCTGTCATCTCTCCCCTCCTTGGATGAGGCTATTGCATCGATGGAACAAGAGGAGATCAGACAGAAGGTGATGACAGGTGAGGCCTCACCTGCTGTCCGCTCGGCATTGGTTGTTCCGGATGCTCGTATCAGAGATGATATAGAGTGCTATAATTGTGGAAAGAAAGGGCATCTCAGCTACAACTGCCCTTAACCCCGCAACACTGGTGGCAACCGAGGGGGCAGAGGACAGAGAGGTGGCCTTGCAGGTCGAAGAGGCAGAGGACGTGGAGACCGAGGAGTTACTCACCTAGCTGTGGCAGATGATTCCCAGACTACTGTTGGGATGACTGGAGCTGAAATAACAGAATTGGAGGAACTACGTTTGTTCAAGCTTCAGACTGAGAGTTCGAAGGGCAAAGGACAAGTCAACCAGGATCTGGATACCACTACATGCTTTGGTAACTTTATTGGTTATGCTCATGCGAACAAAGGTACACAGGTTCATGCACTTGCATCCACTAAAACTCATGTTGATTGGATCATAGACTCAGGTGCATCTAGACATGTCACAGGAGCATTTAGTGAGTTTGCATTATATTATCCGAGTAAGCATATGCATCCTGAGACAGTTCAGACTGCTGATGGGACATCTCAACCCATCAGGGGTACTGGCTCGGTTCATTGCACTTCATCTGTTACCTTATCATCTGTATTGCATGTTCCTTCGTTTTCAGTTAACTTACTCTCGGTTAGCTCTCTCATTGATCAATTAAATTGCACCGTGTTATTTGATCGAGATTTGTGTGTCTTCCAGGAGAAGGAAACGGGGAGGAGGATTGGGACTGACATCAGGCGTGATGGTCTTTGGTACTTGGACAGAGAGACTGCAATGATTGCTGCTGCTGTTAGCGGAGGGCCAGAGGCAGAAGCGATGCTTCAACATTGCCGATTAGGGCATTTATCTTTTGAGAGTTTGAATAGATTAGAACCTGAGTTAATGAAAAAAGTGGATAGAAAAGAGTTATTTTGTAATGCCTGTGAACTTGGAAAACATACTCGTTCTACTTATAGAATGATTGGTCTTCGAAGTTGTGAACCCTTTGCACTTGTCCATTCTGATGTTTGGGGACCATGTCCTACTACCTCTATTAGTGGTTTTAGATGGTTTGTTACTTTCATTGATTGTTATTCACGTATGGTCTGGATATACATGATGAAACAAAAATATGAGGTTTACAAATGTTTTCAAGACTTCTCGGCCTATGTGAAAACGCAGTTTGGAGAGCAGGTAAAGATTCTCCGAACAGATAATGGGACTGAGTATGTCAACAAGGAGTTTGCTGCTTTCATCTCTAGTCAGGGAATCCTTCATCAAACCACCTGTCCAGACACCCCTGTTCAGAATGGGATAGTTGAACGTAAGAACAGACATCTACTGGAAGTGGTCCGCTTATTGATGTTGACAATGAATGTACCTAAGTTTTTATGGAGTGAGGCTGTCATGACAGCAGCTTATTTGATCAATAGAATGCCATCAAGAGTATTAGGGATGAAGACACCGTGTGAGATGCTCTTGGGCTCGAATGTTTTTGTTGTTCCACCAAAAGTGTTTGGATGCACATGTTATGTGCGAGATCACAGATTGATGGTGAGTAAACTGGATCCGCAAGCAGTTAAATGTATCTTTGTTGGCTACTCATCAAGCCAAAAGGGATACAAGTGTTGGTGTCCCACTGAAAGAAGGTTGTTTGTCAGTATGGATGCGACTTTTCGGGAGTTTGAACCTTTTTATGGGGAGAAGACGGAGTTGAGTTCCTTGTTTGGAGATGGCTCTACTGATGCTAGTAGAGAGGAGGAGAATGAAAATGAGAATGAGAATGACGTCGTGGTTGGGATGATTCCATGTCCTCTTGAGTCACCGAGCAGTGATGGTACACCGTCGGGTAGTGGTGGCGACTCAGGAGGTGACAGTCAAGGTCAGGGGGAGCTGAGAGTCTACACGAGGAGACAGAAACAGCAGCATGAGCCGTCTCCTGCGCCTATGCCAGTGCCCACAAATGTTGATGTCCCAAGTCCATCCTCTCCAGTGACTTCTCCACCTGAGTCGATAGGTAACGAGTTCTTCCCTGATACTTCTAACACTCCCATCTTACCCCGCAGAACCTCCAGAGTCAATGCTGAAAAACCTCCAGCTAAGTTTGGTAGTTGGGATACTGACATTGCGAATTACATTTCATATGCATCTATTCCACCTGCATATAAGTCATTCATTGCATCATTGCATTCGGTGCCTGTACCTAACAACTGGCAGGACGCTAAGCAAGACCCTAGGTGGTTGAGTGCCATGCAAGAGGAACTTCGAGCCTTGAAGAAGAATGATACATGGGAACTGGTACCTTTGCCAGCTGGGAAGCGTGTTGTTGGATGTAAGTGGGTGTATACGGTTAAGCAAACTCCAGAGGGCAAGATCGACAGATACAAAGCCAGATTGGTTGCTAAAGGCTACAGTCAAACGTATGACATTGACTATGACGAGACATTTGCTCCAGTAGCAAAGATGAGCACTGTTAGAATGTTGGTGTCATGTGCTGCCAACTTTAATTGGCTACTACATCAGCTAGATGTCAAGAATGCATTTTTGTATGGAGATCTCCCGGAGGAGATGTATATGGAGATTCCACCAGGCTTCGCTACCTCTCAAGTAGCTGGGAAGGTGTGCAAGTTGAAGAAATCTTTGTATGGGTTAAAACAGTCTCCGAGGACATGGTTTGACAGATTCAGGTTGGCAGTCTGCGGTATGGGGTACAAGCAGTGCAATGGGGATCATACTGTGTTCTACAGGCACTCCAAAACTCGTATCACTATTCTGACGGTCTATGTGGATGATATTGTAATCACTGGAGATGATGTTGAAGAAATCCTACGGTTGAAGAAGAAATTGGGAGAGCAATTTGAAGTTAAAGATCTGGGACAGTTGAAATACTTCCTCGGAATTGAAATTGCAAGGTCGCGAAAGGGTATAGTGCTTTCTCAGCGGAAGTATGCTCTGGATCTTCTCTCAGAGACAGGGATGTTAGGGTGCAGAGTTGTATCTACTCCTATCGAGCAAAATCATAAGATGTGTGCCGAAGGTGGTGACCCAGTGAGTAAAGAGCAATATCAAAGATTAGTTGGACGACTTATATATTTATGCCATACGAGACCTGATATTACTCATGCCGTAAGTGTGGTGAGTAGATATATGCATGATCCCAGAGAGCAGCATATGGAGGCAGTTCGCAGAATTCTTAGATATATTAAGGGAAGCCCAGGAAAGGGGTTGTGGTTCAGAAGTTCTGGACATCTGAGAATTGAAGGCTACTGTGATGCTGATGGTTGTATGGATGATCGTAGGTCCACTTCAGGCTATTGTGTATTTGTTGGAGGCAATCTCGTATCCTGGCGTAGCAAGAAGCAAGATGTGGTGGCTAGGTCTACAGCTGAGGCAGAGTACAGCGCTATGGCAGTTGGTCTGTGAGAGTTGATGTGGGTCAAAAACGTATTATCTGAGCTGCGCTTGTTTAGAAGAGACTCCTTACAACTTTGGTGTGACAACAAATCGGCGATTAATATTGCAAATAATCCAGTTCAGCATGATCGCACCAAACATGTGGAGATCGATCGGTTCTTTATCAAGGAGCAACTGAATAGAGGAGTTCTGACTTTGAGCTATGTGAAATCAGAAGAGCAGTTAGCTGATTGTTTAACAAAAGGATTAGGTTCTAGGGAGTATGATATCTTTTGTAACAAGATGGGGATGATTGATATCTATCGCCCATCTTGAGGGGGAGTGTTGAGTTATTTAGATAGTAATTAGTCAATATTGTAAGGACCTATCTGTAAGAGTGCACTTCTATAAAAGGGGTACCTCTCTATGAGAGTAAGTAACCCTAATTTTCCCAAAACTTTCTACAATTGGAAAGGACCAGGAGGAAGCATGTTGATGGTGGAACGCGAGGGTGGCAGAAACTAAGAGCCAGATCACAATCAAATATAGGAGCAAAGTATTGCCACCAGTTGAAAAAAATGATGCCCCTCTCACAGTGGTTCAGAGCTTTAAATGTATCCTATCTACAAAAAGATAATTACCATGATGATATCAACCTGCTCAGTTGTCATGAATGTCTAGAGTGTCAAGAAGACATCGAATCCAGTCACATGATTTTTCTCAAAAAAAAAAAAAAAAAAAAAAATCAAAAAAAAAAAAAACAAAAGAAATCCCGTCACATGATATGGATACAGATGTTTGATACCATAGTAGGTCATGCACCAAGCTGCTCACCGAATGAGCATGTTGGGTGGGGCATATAATTAGACAAGGAATAATAAGTGTCAGCAATTCATAAATAACAAGATATGTAGAACAGTATAAGAAGTCACTTACGGATGCCCAGAACAATAGATCGAGAATTAAAATGAGTACAAAAGAGAAAGCATGGGCTTCATATTTATTTAAAAAAAACATGTGGACGATATCTGATAATGACATTATGAGCGGGCTGGTGATAGAGATTTGAGAATTTGGTGACGGAAGTTTTTGGCAATGTACAGAAGTAATGAACAGACCAGGGAAATAACTTCCACATTCAATGGACGACTAAAAAGACACCAGAAACAGACACACATGTAATATAAAGGGTTAATTGCAGATAGATCCCTTGTAGTTGTAATTGTGCAAATAGGCCGACGGGAGTTTTTGGCAATGTACAGAAGTAATGAACAGACCAGGGAAATAACTTCCACATTCAATGGACGACTAAAAAGACACCAGAAACAGAAACGCATGTAATATAAAGGGTTAATTGCAGATAGATCCCTTGTAGTTGTAATTGTGCAAATAGGCCGCATTTACTATTTGCCCAAGTGCTATTAACCTCAGAGCATGTATATGTATGAATCATATGACATGGATGGTACAGAAGCATGTATAATCCTATAGTTTATAACACATGTAAACCTTTACAAATATTACAGTTTTGATTGGCTGAATATCTATATTTACACAATTATCTATTACCTTCAATTGGAAAATGACTAAAAGGAGGGGAGATGATTTTTTTTCGTTGAAGGGGGTTGGGGGTTGGGGGGGTGTGGGAATGCAAAGAAATAATGAGGTTCACATCAAAGCATGCAACTGAAACCAAATGATGAGGTTCTCTGGAAAAACATGAGAAGCATTCTGACATGGATAATAAAATTAACATGCAAGTGTCGCACAATAAAGGAGTTCTCTCATATCTAAATATCAAGAAAGCAGGTTCATCAACGTGAATCATGCAATCCTAAAGCATATAACGTCATAGACTTCTTTTTGTTGCAGACTTGTGGCCAGCAAAAAAGATAGCATCATAAAAAACTAAACTAAAATGCACACCAGCGGAAGTAATCGCTTCTAATCCCCAATGGTGCTGCAATCAATATATCTGTAATCCATGGAGATAAAGGCCGCACGGGCTTGCTGTCATTTTCCTGCACAAGTGAATGACAAGGTTCCCCCTCCCTGCAGTCACTTGTTGTGGCATGCTTACTAGTACTGCTCCTCTCCACCTCACAGCTGTGATTCTCGACTTTGAATATTGGCCGGTTGTAGTGAGTTAATACTCGTAAAATTTCTCCACATGCCAGAGCCCACTGTTCTGAATACTCTTTCTGCAAGTTAAAAAAAGTTATTATGGAGCATTTAGCAGATAACAGCACAGTTCTTTTCATTAATGGCAGACTGAAATTATAAGTAGATGAACCTAATTATCTGATATCATGATCCTGCTGTGCTTGCACTAAAATAATGCCTTCAGCAGCAATTTGGCAGGGTTGCTTACCTCAGAACTTTGGCTGAATAAAGATATAAAAGAACAAAATGGAGGATCATGCTTATTGTACACCAGAGTTCCATCAATTATACAAGAAAGTATTGGATGTACAGTAACATGTCCGTGCTCTGGATGATGAAGAACAAATTTTGCTGAAAATTATGTAACAAAATAATCAGCATGGAGAAGTTACTAAATAGTTCTATTATTATTTCATATCAATAATTTGTATTAAGGAGTAAGCTTCAGTACCCAAGACGTCATCCAGAAGTCGCTTTTCTCTAGATGGATAATGACTCTGGATTAGCTGCATAAGAAAATATGACAAAACAAATGACACGATTTAAGTGTTATTCAATTATTGGAAATTTGAAGTATTATCAATAAATATTATATTTTACCATGTCAAGGCAAGTCAATGAACTTTAGACTGTTTCTGACAGAGTTTATCATAGTCCGATATGAGTAGGTAACAGACATAATAAAGTGAGTCGTCCATACCTGAGCCACATCTTCTGGAAAATTTTCAGAGGTGAACTGGCCAAAATATTCAACATAGGCCATAATTTGTGCCTGTCAAGAGAATTTTATTTCATTTGATAAGCAAAGGAGAAATTTAATAATTTGTCAACTTGCACAAATCAAAATTGCAATCATACAAACGTATAAAATTCTCGAAACCGCTAATATTCTCGTTTGCAGTCTAGATAATATCAGCTAAAATTTTGAGGAGCCAAACGTCGGTACAAATTTGAGGAAAACACAACTTGCCAGGATTGGCATATGAAGAGCATAGAATGTCAGGTTGGATTTGGTGCCACTGTTTGAGACAGTTTAGCTGATAAAAAGTGCACGGTTTTAGGTAAACTAACATTTCATCTTGTGGAACTAGAAGATAATAAAGTAAAAAGATGATACCAAGAAATTATATCAATTTTTCATTTTAAAACTTATTCTGTTGGGTTGTCAAGCTCGACAACAAGACCTTGTAGCACGTGATTGCACATAAATAGCTGGACACCCTACTATCTTTTTGTTTCTACCAAATGAAAATTTGTCCATTCAAAACATTTGCAAGCACTGCTTACACTCAACAGCAAGACTGCTGACCTTGTCCCATGATGTTAACATAGCTACGTGATTTACTATTTTCATTTTAATGTTATTCAACTACATTTGTGTAAGAAAACATGGCATTCTCCAGTACCTTCACCAGCCCCTAATGGCCCAGCATTCTTTATTCTGTATCAGGTCCACTGGAAGTTGAACCCTCGTCATGTTTCTTCTTTATAAAAAGGTCCATCAGTTAATTGCCAATGGCTACGAGAGTATAAGTTTGTTGCCTAGATGCATTAGAGTACAAATTTAAGGTTGTTGCACTGAACTACATTTTTTTAGAAGATAACTCATCAGCAAATAGAAACATGCCCTGAAACTTGGTGAAGAGGGTAATGCTAAATTTTAGAAGATAACTCATCAGCAAATAGAAACATGCCCTGAAACTTGGTGAAGAGGGTAATGCTAAACTACAACCTCAATACCTTACAAAAAAATAGTTCAACCTAAATATGATCAAGATTCAGGTATTATAGATATATTCTATTGTCTTATTTAGTTTATTAATCGTGTTTTTACCTTAAAATCGCACTTGAACATTTTGCTTAATAATGATTTAACTTCCAACCTCTGTATATCAACAATAAAAAGGTCTTTATTCCAACATTTTGGGGTTGAATCTTCTTCCATTCAGTTCCAATGAGGGACATCTCACTTCTAAGTTAACCACCACCATATTCATCAAATTGCCTTCATACAGGTTCCTTTGCGTCTACCTTTGCCCGACTTCCTCCATTAAATACAATTCTATTGCTTAGTAACCGATGCATTTATCCAGACTATCTTAAAACTCCTTTATTTTTCTCATAAAAGCAACCTCTAATTTCTTAGGAATTCACTTATTTCTTATTCTATTTTTTAGTGTGCATCAACTCAGCTAATACGATTATCATTTCCTCTATGCTCATTTTTTGTGTATATTTTCTTAACTACCCAACAAACATTCTTTAGATCTCAATACAAACTCATCCAAGACGCACTTTAGTAAGTCCAGTAGATTATTTAGTTAAAATTTAATTTAATTTTAAACTAACGTTATATAATCATGAAAACGTCTGGAGGAATATAGGAATTTCTTTATACAATCATGAAAATTTTATACAATCATGAAAACATGAATCCAGAAGATAGGAATTTCTTTTCATCTGGGAATGAATATAGGAATTATTAGTTAAAAATTTAAACCAATTCCCTCCCAAAAAGAATCAGAAAAGGGAAACTGTAACATCTGGAGGAAGAACCAGAAAAAAATTGAAATTTCTGAAACACAGTAAAGGAAAAACCAAAGCTATCAAGTTCACAAGCATGCAACTTAGCTCTTTCATCTCCTTATAAAATTTTAAGGGAAAACTCAAGCTATCAAGCAGAGTTGACAAGCATGCAACTCAGCTTTCTCATCTCATTCCTAGAAATTTGAGGGTCGTCAAAGTCCTTGGAACACCAAATAATCATCTCTAATCACCATGATGTTTCAGATATTTTGTTTAGACAAACTTGTGTCGCACCAAAACTTCCATCGTAGAGCTGCATCGTATCAAATGCATGTTACACATGTATAATGATCTACACGGTGGGGTGGGCTTGACGTGGTTGGAATTCGGAGTCATGGTATTCATTAGGGGCACTTTGACAATTTTGTATGTATTATTTGTGTGCATGTGTACAGAGACGAGACCCACAGTTGAAGAAATGTAAAATAAGGATTATGATAATGGAAACCATCCTTAATTAGTTATTTAATATCTATAAAACAAGAAGTGATTCAATATTAGGAAAAAGAAAGAAAGAAAGCAGACTACTTTAATTTTTATAAAACGATGATCCGTTCTAAGATGCATCAAACAATTAACATTCAAAATCAAGATTTTAAAAAGCATATCAATAAATCTCAAAGTCAAAACTACAAATAAGTCAAATGAAAAAAAGGATAATCATGTCTAGATTGCACAATGAATCAATTAATAATTAGTATTTTCTTTTATGTAG